CGGTGAAATTTTCTTGATAGTTTAATTACAGCATGATATTTCAAGCAATGAGTTCTTCCTCAGAACTTCTTGCGTTACAACACTAACTGTGACCGTTGGGTAATCGAAACCGTGGGTAGTCCGCAACCGCACATAACTCCTACCAGAAGGCCAAACTTTTTTTTCTTAAATGCCCACACCGCAACCTCGAAATACCAATTTTCGCTTTCTAGTCTAGCGTGCAGAAAGTCGAATTTGCGTAGATTTTCTACTTCCTGGAGCAAATCTTTTCCGTATTTTCCTCCGAAGTGGTTCATCATAACTGCTCCAAGTTCAAGGGACTCGAGCGAGAGTGAAACGGTCGCTCTTTTGTACATTCTTCTCGAGTACACACACGACCATTTGGAATGCCGACGTGCGCGTAATGTTTGCATTTTGAATAAGCCGCCGGTCGCAATTACTCGCCGTTTTTGCGTCTTAATGTATATTCATAAACGTAGTACACAAGTGCAATAATACGGAAAGCTTAGACAAACTCGCATCCCTTTTCGATTGTGGAGCGAATGAGCCAATTTGAATAAGAACAATAGATTCATTGTGGCACGTCGTGACGGGAATACTGTACGCGACATTTATTGGATAAACCGACATAAGTTCATAGAGCAGTTGTTTAGCATTTGCATGACGTCGAGCTTAAAACCGCTGACCTGTATTTTTGCCAACGGCTTGTGAAATCCTGGAGGAGAACGACGTTCCACCTTTAAAAACCCTCCGCCAAAGTTCACGCCGGTTTTACGGACACGCAGAACCAGTCGGCCCGGAACGAATTATGTTATTCTGCCTTGGCAAGCGGCAACGCGCTTTTATCATTCCAATAAGTTTTATTTCCACTTCAAAATTTCACTAATTTGTTCCGAATTTGGTTTGGCACGCTCGAGGCCGTAGTCAGACCCGAAAGCAGAATAAATATTTTCTTGTTGGATGTTTTCTCTGAAGGAAAACAGCCGTCACAAGAAAAATACCTAATTAAATCATTCCAGACTTTTACGACGAATTCCCACTGTCATAAAAATTAAGTTATTTAACTTGACGTCACGGAAGAAAGTGAAATAAAGCACCTGATCAGTTTTATAGATAACGGAACTCATAGTAATAGTTTTAAAAGCTCATTCATAATTAGATTTTGCCATGAAGCACATAACTTGCTTAATTCAATTGACTCGGTTGACAGAAATCACAGTATGTTCTAACTAAATCGAACGGAAGAGGAGTCTTGGAGTTTGTGTAATTTACCATGAATGAGTGAATAGTAAGGGATACTTCATCATTTGTTTTTACATGTGAAATTGTTATAGTGGTCTCTCATATAAAGTTATTGACCAGAATGGTCTTAGTTGAGACAAGCTGAAAGAGCAACTTATTTATCTTTTATCTCTTTGTTGCTGAATGAAGAAAAGGTCATTGATTCTTGCAAATTGTTCTGTCAAGAAATTCGCTTAAAATGACTCCTAGACTTTCGGCAATAATTTGGCTGGTTTTCTTTCAGAGCAGATTTCTCAGATTTACAATTACTAAAAAAAAATCACCATTCGCTATGTACAGACGGGAATAAGATAAAACAAAAATTTTAGCTCTTGTAGAACATTTATTTGAAACTTTTTCCTGGTTTTAGTTTTCTGATGATAGTGGCATTCAGTTAGAGTGTCTTAAAAGCGTCGCTTTTGTGCAAAGTCTTTTGAGTCAGTTTTTGAGAAAGATAAGTAAACATGCTAATGAGCTTATCGTTCTAATCCTTTAACAGGATTAAATGTTGTAAACTTTATTTAGGGCATAGAAATCGGTTTGTTTGTCCATTGGAAGCAGTCGGGGCCTCTTCTTTGCATTCGCTAGGTTATGAGGCGTAAAGGTTTTATTTACGCTTTGCAATGGCCCAAAAGGAATTAATCAGGCATGATGATGGCGGCATTTTCGTCTCCAACAAGAAAAATGTAATCGAGTAATTTAACTCCGGTTTTATCGGGCGTCTCGTTAAACGTCGGCATTGTCGTAATAAAGTGGAAACAACAAAAAAGCCATTAAAAATAAAGTGCATTCCTCGCGAATCAAGCCGGATAGTCGGACAATGGTCGTCGGACAATATAAATTCCTTGCGTTGATATTCTATCCAGAAGTATCCCAGATCCTTGGGACGGGCTAAATATACATAAACCTGTGTTTCGTTCGGCAGTTTCGGGGCTTTACGGTCACTTAATCCAGAATAAAATTGTCTTAAGTCGTAAACTCGCTGTAAAATCGGCGTATGTCATAATAAAATGAACAGTTTGTTGTGTCAACATGCAGAACCTACCCTCTTCTGGTACTACTCGCTCGCTTAGTTGATCTAATAAAAAATTGTATTGCCCACTTAAAAGCTCATTACGCAGCTAAATTACCCGCATAACCATGATTATCGCAACGTTTATCGCTTCCTTGGAATGTGCCAAAAAGACAATTCGATTTATTTCCTAAAATCCGATACCATCAATCCATATTTACCTAATCTTCAAAAATGTCGATAAGATGCGTTATAAATCCTCGCCGTTTATGCCAAATGTCGAGAGCAAATCGATTTATTCGAGCCGTTTATTTTATTTATAGTTTCTGTACACTCCCATTTGCAGTTACGAATACACCCATCCCCGTTGGTAAGCAGTCTAAGCGTAGATCCATCGATAGCTCAAAATGTATCCGCTATAAATAACAAAAAGAATCGACGGTCACAATAATTACATTGCTAGGGGGAAGCGTGTGCGACCCAATACAAGTGACGCGGGGGGCACAATAGCCCCTTTCCTAGGGGTGTTGTTAGTGCAGATGGTTATCGGAGCTGCGTGCTACAAGACCTAGGAAATGACTCCATATTTTAGCGTTAATCTCGGTGAGCAGAATGTGTAAACAGAATAGGACGTTTACAATGCAACCGGCGTCGCGTCGCGACGCCAATTAACTAAGATTTTTTCCAAAACGGTACAATCCGATGTAAGCCGGCACTAATTGAAACACGAAAGCGCAAATTAAAACACAAACACAACAATTTCTGTCTTAGTCATAACTATTTTTTTATCAAATTTTTGCATGATCAAACACATTTTGGAGCTTGTGAGATGTCTTGTATTTGTAAGCTTTAGAAAAAAATGTTTGACCGCGCGAGAATTTTTTCACTGGTTGAAACCTGAAAAAGCATTGGCTGGTTGGTTCCAACTGCAGCCGTTGCAGGAAATTACATGTCACATTAATTCGCCTTTGTTGCTTTCTGCCCCTATCACACGTGCGTGCTTAAGAAAACGCGTGGCAATGTCACGCACGGAATCGGTGTGACTGAGGCTTAACGTCGCTTTTTCAGTTGTCCAAGTGGGGAGTTTTTACGTTTGATTTAATAAGCAAATTGGCGGGCGACGCCCTTGTGAACTAATGGACCGTTAACGCAGCTCTCTTCGTCGAGCTTTCCAACAAAAAGCTCCTTTTTAAACACGGCAATGTTACTGTAATGAATGACAGCGCGGTGATTAATGGAAAAATTCAATTAGTTTGATGTATTATAGACGGGGTGCAAGCGGTGACGCTTTGCTGGAACGCCCGAGGATTGCGTCTGCCAGATAATTTCACGGATTATTCCACAATCGTTACCTACCATTTTTATGAGAGGCAAAAGCAAAAGGTCCTCGGGAATTTCTTAGATTTCTCGATCTACTTCTGCATAATACCTGATTCAAAAATGTAATATTCATCAAGAAACTTTTTCCACAGACAAGGAATACTAAGAATGTATTGCGTGAACCTCCAAAAAATTAAACGTATTAATAATTACGTTTTGAGTTCACATAGCAGTCAGCATGTTATTGACCTATTTATGAGTATTTACTGTATTCATCTTGTTGGAATTATGCGAATTTTCACTGCAACGAATAATTGATAACCTCGAGGTTTGTTTAGAGACGGAATGAAAATTAAACAAGTCAAGAGTTTATCTAATTTTTATTAACAGATAATTTATGTAATAGATTACTTCTGTGACTCTTGTAGATTATTAATGTAATTATTTTTATTTGGAGGATTTAGGTTTTAAGATTCAGAAACATATTCAATGCAAATCACTAATTATAAATTGTTGAGTGTAAAGGTTAACTTACAGTTAAGATTACAAAAAGAATAAAACTATTATGTATACATATGCATACTATAGCGACTCACATAATAAAATAGGTACACATCTTTATTGCTTCTAGCTAAACTAAACTGGAAACATATATTATCTAGTGTCACATCTAATGATGAGAAACAAAAATTTTGATATCTAATAGATTCTGATTTTATTCTTCTGTTATGATAATCTATACATATGTTATAAGTTTTGTTCGTTTAAATCAAGGACGTGCAATAGCCTCAAACTTTGTTCTATGCTTATAAATACAATTATGATAATTGATACATTTTGTAGAACTTCGCACGTGGAATAGAATCCATTAATCCATAATTAGTTTTTGATCTCTCTTTTTCTACAAATAGTTAATTAGAAAAGACTTGTTATACAAGCCGTTTTCCAATATACAATTTGAGAAAAACATCTGCTCGGAACGAGAAAATGATACGTATTTTAATTCATCCTTACATGAAAGCCTAAGGCCGATTGTAATTGAATTGCTTTCCTTGTCCTGCAACAATCGGCCGAAACAGGTGAAAAAACTGTGTCAAAGTTCCGGCAAGCGAAACAGTGACTTTTTAATTTGTCCTTGACTGGAAGAAAGCAATGAAATTCATCCCAACACGAACTTGTATAACCGCAAACTAGTACTTCAAGTTTTCAATTACATTCACAAGCCGATAAATTTTATTAATAGCATGAGTTTTTCAGTGTCGTGTATCAGTTTCCGATCGTTCTACATTCCAGGTCAGAAAAAAGCGTCCACCACAACACATTTTTCCAGGTTTTGTGCAGCAATTTCCATAACTCCTGCAGCGTGAATGAAAAGCGGAAAGGCCAGGAATATATGAATCTGACATGTGCTAATGTGGCCGAGCTTGGTTGTGTTTACGGATCCGGCTCACGGTCGGCTTACGTCACTCGGTATATCAACTACAAGCTATGTGTGTGATAACATAGGTAAACACACCGACAAAAACGGCCTCTCAAATACCACGTCGAGCTTTACACGCTTTCAAATTATATCAGCCAATTAAACTGAACCGCGTTGGGCTATTTTCGAACACGGATATAACGTCCTGGATCAATTCGTTTACAATTTGGTACGGGAAAATTAATTTTGGGAAAAAGGGAACACGGGAGGCACAAGATAGATCAAATTTTTATTAAGGATGATGGTGCGAGGATATAATGCGAGGTTCAAGGCTCGGAGCAGGAACGTGAGAATCGCGAATTAATTAATAATTAGTTACGCAGACACAGTTTTAGTTTTATTCTCCTGGTGAGTAATTAAAATTGGCCACATGTGAGGTAAGAGCGGCTTCCACCAAGCTGATTTATTCTCCATGAAAAATGTATGACCTGGAAGGAATTTTCATACCTAAAACACATCCTGCCGGTTTGGACCGAAAAATTTATTTATACAAAACTTAGCACAATGGATTCTACGGCAACTTTTCCATGCAAATCATTTTGTTGGGAGATTGATGCACGTCACGGATCGCGTTACTTTTTTCCTCCGGAATGTTAATAAATAATCAAAAACTAAAAAACACGTCCGTATCGAGCTTTATTTAAATCGTTAGAACCAACTCGGAATACATAAATAGGAAACATGCTTCGTTGAGTAAGTTCATTAATCCCACGAAAATTAACGCTTTATCTTACATGATCTCGATTTACCAGCACGTAAACGAATATTTTACTTGAAGCAAGTTATCTTCAAACACCCAAGTTTCAGAATGTTGCCGGTGTTTTCCAAAGTTGGGAGTTTTGCAGAGGATTGCAGCTTACGAAAACCAATAATGCGCACAGTTTGATTGACAGCGACGGTGGAAAATTTATATCAACGACGCTAGTTTAAAAAGCGAAGGGGAAGGAATTCTTACAACGCAAACAAATACTAGATCGGCTTCATATATTCCACGTGTAAGTCAATGTTATCATGAATAATATTGCTTAGCTTGAATAGATATTTTAAAACCTACCCACGACCCACAGTGTGCACAAAAATGTCTGCTTGGAAAGAACCCGTTGCTGACAGGTTGATAGAACGAATGTGAACCAGACGCTTATATAACATCTATTATTTTATTTGTAACCAGTGTAAAAATAGGTCATTGTGATATTGTCACATTTGAAACAAAATATGTACATTTATTTCTTTCTTCTTATTAACATTACCATACAGTTTTGGCGCCACCTTCTTCATCCCACAATAGAAAAATATATTGTACATAATGTGTCGTCTGACATTTAATGAATAACAACTCTTCATATACATTTTGGTCAACAACAAAACCGATTTGAAAAATATTGTTTTTTTAGTGAAATAACTACATACCAGGTGAATAAAAAGTATGGAACCAAACGTTTTTTGCTTAAACTATTTATTTTTTGAAAAAACTAATTGTTGAATGATAAAGTACAATAAAAATGTGATGATTTAACAAAAATAAAATTTTTCGAAATTTCCTTTTGTTTTTGAGTTCTACAAAAAAAATATTTTTTTAAATGGCAACCCACCATAAAATCATTTTTCTCATAAAAGCTATACTCAAAGGATTACAACTAGCTACTTTATATTTAATTTTATCAAAAAAATTTTTTTTTACATAAATTGCAATTTTGACAAAAAAAATCGTATAACTCAAAAACAAAACAAAATTTCGTTCTGAAAATACGATCACATTTTTTATATTACTTTACTTTATATTAATAATTTTTTTTCTGGAGGCAAATGATTAAAAATAAAACCGCTTGGTTCCATACTTTATATTCACCCAGTATGTATGCAATAACAAAACAGCAATTGCAAAAAATTACTTGGAGATACAGCAATAATATGAATTAGCAAAGTGTGAAGACACATCAGGTCACTAACATTACTTTTATTTGTAACGTACTTTTTGTTATTGTTGTGTCTATATTAACTTTTACCTTTTTGAAGCTTGTCTTGGTCTTGTATGAGGTGTTAATTGAAGACTTTATATGCGACTCCTACATCAGAATCTTCATAAAAGCTGTAGCTTTTTGTTTGTCGTATACAATTTTTTTGTAGTCAACTGTTTGGTTCACTTTTATGAAGCTCTTTGTAACGTAAAAGTTCTGTAAAATATAGTCATAATACTCATAATATTCCAAGTTTTGAAGCTATACACACGAAACCATCATAGAGTTTCTCCGTGTGTGGTCGTTGTCGAAATCATTTTAAAAATTTTCGTCTAATGCTTTTGATATTTCAAATAAATAAACTGCTTAATATGATATGACAAAACAGGAAGAACAATATTACAGTATACTGTGGTTTATTTGGTTCTTTGAAGTAAAATTAGTTACATCATTGCATTTTCCTACAAATAACACCGACAATTTAGATAAAGTTACTGCTGTTTTATTGAAATTATGGGTGGTAAAGTAATTGTGAACTGCAGTCAGCATTTTGAACATTATATTTGAATAGTAATCTCAGGGAACATCGAGTTTAAGAGCGCCTTTATCGCAAACTTCGTTACGACTAGAGCCACAATTATAATACAGAAAGCATCGATATTCTGAAACTTATCAGTTTTCTAACTCTTGCAAAGTTTCACAAAAATGGCAAAATGTCATACGTGGGCTAAAATGCAGAAAAATATCTGTTTCAACTTGTTCGCAATTTCCATTTAATTCATACCGATCTCAACCCACACTGAAATGTGTTTCGAATTTAAGTTGAACGTACCGTTTCCATTTTTATTGAACTTATATGTTACGAAAACTATGTCGCTGTGAAAATTTGTGATAATTACAGTTTAGATAATTGGGGGTAATTCAGTTCCGGCGGTTGTAAAGGTGGCCAAGACGAAATTGCAGAGTTATGGAAGTGTGCGAAGCAAAACAGGGGAATGGCCATAGAAGCAAACGGTTATAACTTCCCTTTCACAGTGTTTCGGCCATGGGGGCGAAATTAAAGCGACTCCATCACTCTTCACATTTCGTCCATCTCCGCCATAAGTCACTTCCTGCATCAAAGACGTCAGTGGAGCAGTTCCGGCCTTGCACCATTGTCGAGGGTAATCACGGGGACAAAGGGTCCCGAGCTTCGAGCAACAGTCGTTTTATTTCATTGTCGCGAATCGCCGGTAAAGCAGAGCTCTGCGTGACCGTAACTCGCGATAATTGTAATTGTTTTGTCTCTTCCGTATTGAGTCCCACTCTCATGGAACCGCAGGTGCACCTACGTCTACCTGGCTATTTATAAACATGACTTCAAAGTCGTATGCATTCATAATGCGTATTTTTATTGAGGAATTTGAATAAATTTGCACCAAAAACTAAACCAGATGCAGATTACACTCTTTGATTTTGTTTGCATGAAATATAAATTAGGTAGTTTTAAGAGAAGTTGGGTTTTGTGCGAGGCTTTGAAATCGGAAATTTCGACAAAACTAGAAATGGAAGTAAAGAGATTCAAAGCTCTGAGTTGCCATGCAGAACACATTCCTGCAGGTATGCAGCCAAGGCCGAGATGATCAAACAGGGAGTTACGTGCAAAGTGCAATTTATAAGCGTTTGATTCCACCTAACGAGCGGTTACAACTTACGAGATTTATTGTTTTCTGTTTAGATTTATAGGAATAATCGCAGGAAATACTTTCCCACCAAGAACCAAAAAGGAAATAATGTCGCGGTTAACCTTTACAGATCTGACTCAGAAATCATTAGATTATAAAAACCTGTCCAGTCGCCCACATCAATGTAAAAATTTTCCACAAAATACACAAGAGGTGTTCCTACCTAGCAAATTGTCATATTTGAGCTTTCGCTCCGCTCCTGCAAATAGAATACGTAGTTTCTAGCCGACTTTTTGTGCGTGAAAACGAGTCGTTTCTGCAAATCTGTGTTAGTTTAATTAATGATCACTGAAATATGTCGAACCGACTCTTCAGGATGTGAGCCAGACTGAAACAGTAATTGTAATGAAGTAGTTCGTACGATTTGAATAGCATTGGTCGTTTGTAGGCGATCCCCATGTAATTTGCCGCATGTTAAACGTTTGTAGACGACGCTTCCTACATTATAGTAAATATGTTGATGCATAATTTATAATGTATTATTTTAAAGCGCTTACAGAATAGAACGATACGGTCCTGAATCCTGATGAATCGTAAATAAATCATTTCGTAATATGGTAATCAACAAAAACAAAAGCTTTTGTAGGATTACTTTTGTAGAGTTTTTTAGGAAATCTTGCACTGTCACATCCGACACAAGACAATCAATTTTCATATCCCCAAACATAACAACACCAGAATCTGCCGACAACAAACCGAATTCACCGTGAAATAAAATTATTCAAATTTTTACAAAAACACGAAAACCAAACCGGTCGATTTTTGCCTTATTTGCTGCTAAAGCTCTTCCCACGAACCCGATTTTTGATTTAATGATAAGTGAAGGCTTCGGCAACTACTGATAAAGTTTCGTGAAAGTTGCTGTTTGGCAAAGCTTTCGTGGCAAATATAATGTTCACATGGATAATAATATCTTTAACATCGCTCCGCAAACTTGGTAGATAGTGATAAATAGTGGAAAGCTCCTGGTACGGAAGCACCGATATTTACGACACAGTGATTAATTATATGCTCTTTTTTGGTGAGTATTTTTAAACTCGTCTTTATTAAAAATATATTCTTTCATGAGGAAAATTCGTGTTTCCAAAAAACAGGAAGTTGTTGACATGCGAGAGCGCTATTTACATTGTGTTCCGGCCTACATAAAGGGTCAATTAATGATATAACAATACTTTCACTAACATAAACAAATTTTTGCCGGGATGCTACAACAGAAGAGTCAACAAACAGGATGAGGTAGTGCCAACCTAAGCGAATGTCTCGCGACGTTAATCTCCAGCCTAGCACTTAACCGTTTTCGGTTTCTTTAGCCGCCGACTAGACGCTGCGGATATTGATAAAAAAATAACACCGGAGAAGAAATAAATATCTTTTGCGAAGTTTTATCATTTATTGCGTTTTGATCACCTACAATAGATGCATGATTTTCGGACAAAGCATGTCTTTTTTTGTTCTATTTCACACTAGATGATCAACTTGGATAAGAATTTACTTACGAAATTGTGAAATGGAGGTACAAAAATAAAGGAGTAAAATTCTTTAAAAAAATAATCGGGTTTTCGAGGGAACAAGAACATAGCAATATTATTCCCCAATTATTTGTTGCTTCGCATTTTCTGGTGGTCCAAGGGCCTTTTGCAGGTCCGGAATGGGTTTTAATTCGCGTTTGGTTTGGTTTGTCTAGCAGCAATCTGGGTAATGTCCCCCAATGGGCCGGTAAGCAGCTTATGCCGCCGCCACGATGATTGGGTCGGGACCGCGCACATCTCCACTATTATTTTTCTCCTCCATCCTCGAGCGTTTAGTGCCATTTGAATGTGTCCCTTGTTGCAAAAGTTTTTCCGACTGTTGAAAGTTTGTTATAGCGATATTAATTGCACTTACGCTTGATAATTCAAACTGCGTTGGACTTTATCGCGAATCGCTTGGGACGCAACCTTATCGGAAACATTTGTGATTGTTTGAACCCCCTGTAAAAACCGCCGGTAGCTGTTTCCGCTTAAACTTCTAGGTTATAACGGGCCAGGTAGCTTGGAGCGGTTTGCAACTTTCAAGTGCCAATATCGCTGAGAATTTAAATGTAGGGAAAAAACTAAAGCAACATGAGCAAGATTTTCAAAGCGGCGTATTCCTTTTGCACCGTTACATGAAAAAGGCCATGTTCGAAATCCAGCGTTCAGAAATTAGCGCTTCAGGCTTCGAGAATTTAATCCAGAACGCCACAAACGATTGTATCCGCTGACAACGCTTTGAATCAGAAAAACTCGCCGGAGGAGTGACAAGAAGACAGTTTTTGAATGCCTTTGCGACTAGTTATTACTCTTACAACGAAAAAATGGCTTAGAAACACCAGACAACGCTCTCAAGAAAACAAATAACAGATTGTACATCAACGGAGAAAAATTCTACTACATCCATTAATTAAACCGAATGCTCTAGTGAGAGTTTCTTTCGCTTTATTGCAAGTAGTGCACATTATGCTTCATTTATAATTCTTTTCGTCATTTCATAACAGTTAGAAGACCAACTCAAGATCAGAAAGCTCAGCATCGCCTGGCATGGACCGAAAGCTCATTTAAAAATGGTTTACTGTATTTTTAATTCTACTAGCGTAAGTGAACTAGGAATTTAATCAATACGAGCTCATTTCAGGAAATATTTTTGTGTTCGCACGTTTGTTATTTCTATTTCTCTATATGCAGTTTATAACATTGTAATCGCATTATGAAAATAAATAATTTACTGGTGTTAATAAAATAGTCGAATTTATCTCGTTTATTTCCACATGCGTGAGCAGTAAATGAGACGGGAATTTTAAAAATATGAATTTAATATTAAAAAAATGCTAATTTATATTCATGAATTATTTTAGCGACGAAACAATACAGTACATTAAAGGGGATTTGAAAGAATTTATGGCAGCTAAAAGCTCGTGTAATAATAATAATAATAATTTTAATTTCTTGAGGGTCGCGCTCGGTGTAGTTAAAGCCCCTCGAATGTGCACCAAAATTTAAATCCGTTATTAAAAAATGTAAATCACACAAAAGGTAGAAGGAACGCGATTACCGCATTTCGTTTGTTGGTAACGTTGGGATTTGTATAGCGGTTAAGAAGTTATCGACCAAAATGTAAATGTCGGTGTTCCTCTTTTCCTGTATAAATTCGAGGATCTACAATTTCAGAATAAAAATGAAGCTAAACAGTGAGGCCGTCTCACTAAAATTCAGCTCACATTTCGGTCTGATAACACAATACGAGACGTGTTTGCACCATTACAATGATTTTTTATTGCACACCCTAGCATAACGACAATTTTTCTTCTCAAAAACTCAACCAGACCATAAAAAATCTACACTTAAACGTGATCTCCGACACGTTACGTATTCATACATCCGGAGGCGGGCCTAGATTTCCCCCGATACAAACCTATATTTTTGCTTCTAAAAATTGCCCGGAGAGCGGCCGAGGTGCCATTTGCATGAGCCGCCCCTGGAGGCCAGACCAAAATAAATTCGTACACGACTTTCCAAAATCAACATCCGGGAAAACACGGAAAACTCGGACACAGCACAAAGCGCCCCTAATAATCAATTCACCACTCGACGAATTCATAAAGAAAATACTCTAAATATTCAAAAAATACACCATTGATGTTAACACAAAAACTGAAAAGAAAGGGGACACAAAAGAATTCCAATATGCCAAAACATAACATTATGTATTTTGACAATGCTCCAATAAGACACCTGACTGTGGCTTGTTTCTATTGTTTGTGATTATATACAGTTGGGAAATGGCTACTTCCCAACCCGAAAACTGATAAGGAAGTGACCACTTCGGGTGTTCCATTTTTATTGTTACAAATTTAACGAGGTGATAGAACATTCAATTTTAAGATAAAAGTTTCCTATAAACATATATCGAAAACTTTTATATAAGGGAGCCACATCCCCTGAAAGGGGTGCACCTTTTAATGGATTTTTTCCAATATTTCAGAAACCATCGTAGATAAAATTACAAAATTTGGTAAAACTGATAACCTTTATACATCCAAATGAATTCAAAGATAAAATGTCGAAATATTTACTCAGGGGCGTCCTAAATTGGGGGGTTTAGGGTAAAAAGTATCCTAACTATTTTGGCGTTGGTTTTTGCCATTTTCAGCCACAGAATTCTAAATTTCATAGTTTTTCACAAAAAAGAGCTCTTTTGCGTTTTTTCGATAAAACTTACCGTTTTTGAGTAAAATCAGTTTACAATTTGTCTTACAGACCATAAAGAGGATAAAAATTAAAAATCAAATTTGTTTCACCGTTTCAGAGACCCGTGATTAAAAATTTCGACAACTGATCTTTAAATTCGTTCAGGTGTTTAAAAGTAATTAGCTGTACCAATTCTTGTAATTTTATCTATTCTGCAATAGTGGGAAAACCTTATTAAAAACGCATCTCTTTCAGCGGGTGCAGCTCGCTTACATAACATTTTTTGATACATGTTCATAGGAAACTTTTATTTGTTTAAAATTAAATATTCTATCACCTGTTTAATTTGTAACAATAAAAACGGAACACCCTGTAGATAAGTGAGGTACTAGTTCAGTAAAGGCAACTTTTACTTACGGTTTTTACATTAAACGATTCTGACATTACAGTAACATATTCCTAAAAATGTTTACTTGAGTTTGCAGATAAGCAAATGAGTATGTAGTAGTGTCACCTTGTATTTACATATTAGAACTGTTCCATTTTATTTTTAATTAATACCAATCACAACAACGTTTAATGACAAGATTAATTATTCGAGTTGGACAATAAACCAAACTGACAGCTGATTTATTAATAATGATCGGTTAAAATTCAATTGTTGTTAATAAATCTTGAAAGAATGACCCATATTTAGACAGGCGTACGTGAACTCTGCCAGCATTCCACTTTGTGATAACCTGATAACCACTTCAGTGTAAATTGAATCGGAATTTTATATCTGCATGTATGCCGTTCGATACCCTTTCCATTATGCGAAGAAATGCATCTTTTGCGTGCTGCAAACCARATCATACTTCCTTCCCAATAATAAATTCTATTAACAAAAGAGCGCAGCATTCTCATTGCAGAGCGAGAATAAGGCAAGTAACTCGTTCCGCTCCGGTCTCCCCTAATTGCGTGCAATGAGCGGCTTCGTGGCTCGTCTTTTATTGTTATAAACAATATAAAAATTCCGGACGCGTTTTATGAAATACCGCCGGGGTATTTATCAGACGTGGACTCTGTTTATCGCAGCTTGTTATTGTTCTGTTTCGTATGTATTTATACAAGGACTGGGGTGAATCGGTTTTTAGTCGCCACAACGCTCCAGGAACTACTTGCAAGAGATATATGAAGTCTTTTTGTGTACACCGAGCGAAATCCTGAGAGCTGCTCACCTTCTTCGTGTGAATTTATATCGCACGAGGCGGTTGGTTATTTTTCTTATTAGACGTATTTTTCGGAGCTCAACGCGTTATGTAGACGGAATACGTTATGCGGGAAGTAAATTGTGTGTTACAAATACTGATTAGATGCGCTTCCAGACGAACCTACGAGAAAAAGCCTAATCTAAACGGGCTTCAAGAATCATTGACGAGATGCGATAATATCTCTTTTGTACAGATACACTGTTGGGTGGATCGGGATTTATAGCGACCAGCATCCATTTCGTGATATCTTTCTTCAGTATACAGGGTGGAGCAGGTTTTATTAATAAAGAAACATCCCTTTGACCCGGATTTCTCATTTTCAGATAAAAGAATTAATTTCGTCTCCTTTATCTTTTTTTGATCCTTGATTCGGCATTTGTCAACTTCTTATGTTGCTCATATAACTGCCTTCAATTAAAGCAATTGACGGAACTGCCGCTGCCTCGTCCAGGCTGTTTCTAATTGAATTTTCCAATTTACACCGTCATGGACGTTTTGAAAACATTCTGAAGCCGACCCGATGCTAAGATCTCTGTCGATAAATTTAAACACCCGTGACCCGTATCTCCAATTATATTCGTTATTCCCAATTGTCACTAATGAGACCATTTACACCGCTCGGCCGGAACAAAGCAGCATATCATCGACCGTTTGAATATCACATCGTAAATTTTAATAATTTGCGACAGCAGAAACACTTTTCTTAAATATTTTACATTTCATGAAACGTGCGAATGTAAAAACCGTACAATTTCCATCGCGTGCTCTTCAATAATTCTGTCACTGTTTATTGACCAAAATGACCAAAACTTCATGCTAAATGCATGCCAATCACTATTAATGTTATTTTTTTGTTGCAGCTGCTGTTTTTTCCCCTTCTACTGGGCGTACTCATAACACCAATCAATGGAATGAGCGGCGTCGGTTGTCCCATGGGATGCGTCTGCAACGACGAAACATACGTGGTTTTGTGCGAAAGAAACAAACTAGACGTGCTACCAATTACACTGAATCCAGCCATTCAAAGACTTGTGTTAAGGAACAATAAAATTAAAACAGTGGATGCTGCGTTCCAGTTTTACAAAGACTTGCAATACGTCGATTTATCAAACAATCACCTGGTGAACATTCCGACGAAAAGCTTTATTTATCAAGAGAAGCTGCAAGAACTTCACTTGAACAAAAATAAATTATCGTCGATTAATAACAAAACCTTTCAAGGCTTAAAATCGTTGACTGTATTGAATTTGAGGGAGAACTTCCTAGAGGAGTTACCCCAAGGTCTTTTCTCGATTATGCCTAAATTGGAGGAACTCAATCTTGGCCAGAATAGAATTTCGAAGATTGATCCCCTGGCTTTTGATGGTTTGACAGCACTGAGAGTACTTTATCTCGATGACAATGCCTTAAGTTCGGTACCAACATCGTCTTTTAGTGTTTTGGGGAGTTTAGCTGAGCTTCATGTTGGCTTAAATGCCTTTTCTTCGCTCCCAGATGATGCTTTTAAAGGACTTGGCAAGTTGTCAGTTCTTGATTTGAGCAGTGCCGGACTTTCGAATATTAGCCTAAATGCTTTTCGCGGATTAACAGGACTGAGAAGTTTAAACTTGGTCGATAATAAACTTCAACGTATTCCAACTGTCCAGTTGAGTCATCTGTCCCGGTTAGAAGAGTTGACCATCGGCCAGAATGAGTTTACTACAGTAGAAAAGAACTCATTCAAAGGTTTGAGTAATTTGAGGAAGTTAGACATAACTGGTGCTCCTAATTTACAAAAAGTGGAAAAAGGTGCTTTTAGTGATAACCTGAATTTAGAATTTATTATCTTAGCCAGTAATAAGAAACTAGAAGACTTGGAAGAAGGTGCTCTTGTCGGTTTACCCAACCTGAAACACTTAGTCTTGAAAGACAATTCCTTTAAAGCTTTTTCCGAATCAATGGTGTCTTGGAACGAACTAAGGTCACTTGAAATGACCGACAATCCGATTTTCTGCGACTGCCACTTGCTCTGGTTGAGTAACTTAATCTCAATGAAGAACTTGAGCAACGTTCAGTGTTCAATGCCATTAGCGTTGCGCGAACGTCCTTTGAGGACTCTGAGTCCTGACGACTTGGGCTGCTCGTTCCGCGACCCTCGCCAGCAGGCCATCCTGGTGACGTTGTGCGTAAGTGCGGTTGTACTGTTGGGAGGCCTCGGCCTGTTCCTCTTCCGATACCGGCAGCGAGTCCGCGAGGCGCTCAAGGACTACAAGTGGAACAAAAGGGCCATCAGCCGGAAGGAGCACGAGTACCAAAAGACGTTCTCTGATGACGACTACATCGTCCGGTCGGCTCAGCAGGGCATCAAGCCTATTCCTGTGACGGAGTTGTAGCTAGAGCTGAGCGCGCCGCCCTCTGGGGTCTTCTGTTTGGATGGTGAGGGCAGGCGTGCGAGGGGCCCACGGGGGCCAGGGGGCACTCTCCCCGTCACAGGCTTTACATACATCACCGGCGATTCATGCAGGGCGCACTCGCTAAGAGCGCTCAACTCGGACAGGAACGGATTTCCGCGCTGTCACAGAGACGTCTACCAGCATTAGCCGAGACGTGGGCTAGAATTTGCAGCAATAAATGAATCCATTCCAAAATGTGATTAAATAGACTGTATAGTAGGTTTAAGTATATTTTTCTCGATGTCTAACGTTCTAGGCCTGTACAAACAGGAGGGACTATTAGAGTGGACATACAAATCAATTAAGGGTTGCGTACCGYTTGTCGTGTTCAATATTTGTATGTCTATCCATTACATTTACTGCATTATATCCCAGTGTCTGGACACTGAACTATGATGATACGAAGAGAGTGATGTTATCATATTTGTAAGAAAAGATGTGATATTTAATGACTGCAAACGTTTAGATGCCAGTTAAGGTGTACATAGGGGGCTTGGTAGTAGTTATTTTTATTTTAAACGTTTCCTGATTGTGTTCAAGCCATTTCTCTATTGGGTTTAGATGTTGCGGTCATAAATACCACTTCCATTTTAATGATTTGATATTTTCAATCAACTTGAAAATATTTAAGTCAGTGTATATACATGTAACATGCAATATTTCTATATATTTTGTATATATTCTAAATTTTAGATTGTAGAAGAGTATTTATTAATTTTTTATTGTGTGATCGACTATACAGATAAGAAATATTGCATTCCAAGAGCTGAGTGATTGTGACCGTTTATGCCAATAGAATTTTTTTCACACGTTTCCAAACGAAACATTTCCGACTTTTTTCAAGTTGTCTAGTGCTGAACACAATTGATGAACTAGTCATAGTTAAATTATTATACCTAGACAGAGTGAATGTTTTTTGTAATTTTTGTGTGTAAAAACAAAGTGCATTTTATATTGTAAATAAACATAGTGTTTTGTACATATGACTTTAACCTTAACTATCGATATTTACAATAAATAAACTATTTCAAATCTTTATTTCCCATTTTTTCTATTTATTTAAATTTATGTTTATTTTTTTACARATCAATAAAAATCAACCTCCCGGAAGATTTAAGTCAACTTCTTTGAAACTTTRTCGTATTTAGTTAGAAATTCATATTTACCTCCTGAGTACCTAGTTTAATAAATGTTTAAAGAAGTCAGTGTCCCATTGTATAAGAAAAACTAATTTCTTTCAAACAGGTTATTGCATAAGTCATAACTGAGACTATAAAATTCTATAAATAAATTAGATATGTACTTGTAATCATTAACTTTTGTTTTACGTGCATCATTAAAAAGTTATAAAACAACGAACAAATGGAAACACTACAACATAAATGACCTCTAAACATGAAAAAATATGTGTGAATCACTTTACCACATCAGTTTAGCATTTGGCCAAGCCATGCAGTAATAATCCTTCGTAATTAACTGAAGTGTTAATTYAATTAGCTAATTCATATTAGCGTCTGTTTATGTAGGCTCTTGTAACATCTGCAAAATTGAGTTACGCATTTTAAGGTGAGTAGTGTTGAATTAAAACTACCTTTAGATTCTTATTATATGTCAAAAAAAGTTAAAACCCTACTCTCGATGATCAAGCAATATAAATTGGTAAAAATGAATTTCGCGCGTGGTGGGTTTGATTTGACGGATGACAATAATATTGTTTTCCATTTATGTGAAAACACTAAAAGTAACGCAACTATAGTTGTTTAYTTAATTCATTATGCAGACTATTTAATTAAGTTTACATTCGAACAGAAAACAAGAAACTAATCAGACTGACTATGCTAATTTATAAAAGATGTGTATTGCTGGTTGCRGCATGTCGACTGATTATAGTTTCCTGTCGTGACAGCTGTGCCGTGAGTGTTGAGGTCGCATTTAGAGGTCACTAAAGTATAAATATTGAAGTTTTCACGTTGTCATCAAATGCGATTTTCATTCGACATTCACTGTTTTTCTTGAAGAAAATCTATAAGTGAGTGTGAACATGTCAGGAGTTTTGACCGAAACAGTGGAACCCAGCGACCTAAAAGTAAGTGTTCCCCAAAATCCATCAGAAACGCCATTCGGCCTGTCAAGTTATCAAAACCAAACGATGAGTCATAARTGTTAATAAACACAACAATATTTGCAGAAATTCGAGAAAATTTACCACGAACAGCTGTACAAGAACGATGTAACTCCTAAGGCTCAATTCGAATATGCTTGGTGTTTGGTTAGGAGCAAGTATCCTGCCGATATACAGAAAGGAATAATCCTGTTGGAGGACTTGTACAAGACACACGAAGAGGGACAACGAGACTATCTGTACTATTTAGCAATTGGGACCGCAAGGTTGAAGGAATACACCAAAGCTCTCAATTATGTTAGGTCATTTTTGTTAATTGAACCAGGTTTGCACTTTAGACTGTTTATGTAAGGTTTGGAACTTGGCTGTTTTAGGTAATCAGCAAGTCATTAGTTTACAACAAACAATTAAGAAGAAAATGGAGAAAGAAGGTTTGGTGGGAATGGCTATGGCTGGTGGGGTTGTTCTTGCTGTGGGTGCCATAGTTGGTGTGGGAATGGCTATAGCTAGCAAAGTTAAGTCTTAGTACTTCCCACGTATCAAATGTGATAGTGTTACCATTTTTACTTGTACCAAATTGTATTTTTTGTGTTTGTTTTGTGATTACATGAATCATTGTTATTATTTGTTTTATTGGCATTTAATTTTAGTTCAAAAGTTAAAAACAAATTAAATGTAATATGTAAAGGCACAGCTTATTTTATAAAGACWTTTTTGTTGAAATTTTTGTGTATTTATGTAATATTTATGAATTAAAAACAAGAAGTAAATGCGAAATAAAACATTTATTCTACTGAAATGTATATTTTGCACTTTACTTCTTGTGTAGACTGTTGCACTATTATGCAAGCTGTAAATAGATTGTTTTTTAAGTGTATTTTATTTTCTTAATCATTAAATCACTGTATATTGCTAAATAAATAATCAAAGTTTATGTAAATATTTAGTTTTTAAACTTTTATATTACACACTAATGTGTAATACCACTTGTATGTTGGATTTGGTATTTTCTATAATATCATGCTTTCAATTTCTGACCAAAAAGATTGAATTGGGAATTTGAGGGGTGGCATTCTGGTAGTAGTCTTAGATTGTCAAAACTCTACATTTTGGTTCCTTTTTTGGGCAAGTTTAGTCAGCAATTATACCTTTTTGTACCAACACCACAGTTTACTAGCGTTTTAATAAATAAACATAAGTTTATCTAATTTTGAAATTGCTGCACAGCAATCATCTTTACGAGAATATTTTTTTTTACTCTTAGTTTTTTTTCTATTATACCTCGTATGGCATACGTTGCGCCATTTCTATCGCCACTCTGGCAATGTCACTATTAGAAGTTGCCAATTTAATTTCAGTTACGAGTTACTTTGATCAGAAATAAATAAATAATTCACACATAATAAAATTGCGTTGTATATTTGGTTGCATAAACGTTTTCACCATTTGTCACAAACCATTGACATCCTCACAAACCTCGGAAAACTTATAATTATTGTTTATTACAAATTTTTTCCTTGAGAGTCAGAAATATTTTTTTAATAAAATATAGATGTTTGTACTTTGAACGTGTCATTAWTTTAAAGCCAGAATTTCTCTGAGTCAGTAGCCTGGATGTTTCAAATTTTTAAGATTTTTGGCCACAAGAGTAAGAACATTTTTAACAACCAATATTTTAGTCACGAAGTAAATTTTACTTTTTTTTATTTGTCACAATTATTATGTATAGAGTATACTCTTTTTTTCATATTGTTTATTTTGTAACATTTCTTTTCAAATCATCTTTTTTTTGCTTCACCTGTCGTCGAAAAACCAAACTTCGCTACTTTTTTGATTCTACCTTACGTATAAAAAAATAAATTAGGTCGTCCTTGCCCTATCTCAATTTTCATAAGGGTATAGTCGCTCCAACAACTCCGTCTGCAAAGTTTACTATCCCTTATAAAAAAATCTCGATAATGGATCTCCCGACATAGTCAACTACTCAAGAACTCTTAACTAGTTGTAAACTGTTATAGTTGTATTCAAAATAGCAGGTAACAAGTTATTTATAGTTATACAAAATCGACAATTAAAAACGCATCTCAAAATCGCGGAAGTCCGCTTCGGTGCGATCTATATGTCGTAGTCATTGGGCGTAATGCGTCATTCCGCGGAAAACCTAGTCATTGGCCGTACTGCCGGCAGAAGCTGTAATCAAATGAATATTCCTTTGTTTGACTGAAATTTTACGTCATTTCAGGGATTGCCAACTTAATTCTCGTCAAACAAAGTAGCCGGTTAAACCATTACATGTTACAGCGTTTGATGGAAATGTATTTAGTCATTTGCTGAAAAGTCTTGAAATGTTTGATACTTTCTATAGAAATGTAAACTTTTGGTAGAAGAAAAGAAAAGCCAAAAAACTAAAATATTTTTATTGTAGCAAAATATTTGTTTCGTTTATTTGGAATAATGTAAACATATATATTATAAATATACATTATTATTATTATAAAATCATATAAAAAACGGTAACTAGGTACATGACTAAACAACAGATAAAAATATATTTTTTTGCCTTCAGGTAAATTACAAAAAAATATATATTCTTTAGAAATATCTTTTGCCGTCTAAAATATGTACAACTGAAATAAAGGAGTATTTTGAGGATAGAAGTCTTTTACCTCCTTCATTACTTCATAATTCCACGGTTTTTTGGCATCTTTGTTTTTCAAATAATTAATGTGTCATAAAAGAAACTCTTATGATTATCCATTTTCAATAAGAAAAGTCCAACAATTACTAAATGTTACGGCCTGAAATACTACACAATAAAATTTCAAGCTTTCAGCAAATGACTAAATACACTTGCGTCAAACGCTGTAACATGTAATGGTTCAACCGGTTACTTTGTTTGACGAGAATTGAGTAGGCAATCCCTGAAATGACGTAAAATTTCAGTTAAACAAAGGAATATTCATTTGATTACAGCTTCTGCCGGCAGTACGGCCAATGACTAGGCTTTCCGCGGAATGACGCATTACGCCCAATGACTACGACATATACANTCTCTAATTTGAAAAAGATAATTAAAAATCGAATTTGAAATAAATAAGCAGCTTTCTAACTAATATACATATTTATTTTTAGACTTTTGGAAGATTTTGTCACAATAAATAATTTAAAATAGAAAGTGCTATGTATAACAAATTGTAAACAATGAGTGTTAATGACAACAGTGTTGGATGAGTCACAATTTGATTTAAATGATTTATGTGGTTTAGATGACACTATTGTTTAATCTTTKATAGCACGTAAAGCACTACTTTAAAGTACATATTATTAATTAATTTCTTTCAATAAAGATTTAATACTGATTGTCTTCTGCACCCTCCATATTAATGTGGTTCTGGCTAACTATACCTAATTTTTAAAAAATAAAAATTTGAATCTGTCTTCAATTTATTTGAGCAAAAATGTAGTGTATCTAAAAAAAAACTATGGTATAGTTGTTCAAACAGTTCCATATTAGAAATTTGCTCGTTGAAAAATTGTTTCCACTTATATTATCACATCGGCGGAATATCCTTGGCTTCCGCGTTTAACTACACCGCAACAAAAAGTTTGGTTTTCGTATAATTCACTCTGCTACACTAATATTTAATTAAATAAAATAAATTTTATAAACACTATAAACACGCGATTGAGATCGAATTTAAGACTATTATGATTATCGAGTGAACAAAATATGTAGTATGAAACTCTAAAGTCCAAAAGTGAAAACACTGTTTTCGAATTTTTGCTTTATAGAAAAGAATTTTGATTAGCAAACCCAAAAACTGATAAGAAAATGACCACTTCCCAACCTGAACTGCTATAATTACATCTTGTTTTTCAAGATTTCATAATTTCTTTAAGTATTGGCTTTCTATTTTTTAAGGAGGCTGATTGTGAATAAAATAGTACCTATATATACAATACATKGTACCTCAGCGGCGCTTCGCGCCTTGGTCATCTTTCACCTTGATAATAAAGCACCTCGGTATATAATTTACTATAATTCCAAAMACAATGTTAATACATATAGTTAAAGTAATTAAAATCATTTAAACTTAAAARTGGGCCTGGTTTTATAGGTACTTACATAAATTATCGACTTACTTGTGATGTATTTTATACTTTTTGGTTACAAAAAAGTACATCAAAAATTTCGAAAACAGCAAAGTATAGCAAAAGCAAACCATTTATAATAGTGGGAAATAATTTAAAACAATTTTCTTTTATGTTTTACACGAGTCCCATACCGGATAAGGAATAACATCATTGTTTCAATTATGTAACAAACGTTTTTATTGAAATTCGATACAATAATATGTACCACAAATCACGGTTTTTCTCTTGCAACCCAATCGGCCCATTAACTTCTCCCCTTAAAAACACCTTCAAGTAATTGCCTTTGTACGGATTCAGAGACTTGCATAAGCACTCATTGGCATTGAAAAATAATTCATTTATGGACTACTAAATTGTTTTTTTTTTAATTGTATACCCACGAGTTTCCCCTAAATCCACGTGAAATCCTGATGGGTACTGAATAGCTTTCCTAATTTCCACACGAATTATAATTTTAGGCCTCTCCTTTATTGGGCCAGTCATCGCCCTTTTATGATGAGCAGTTTTCCATGTACGCGCAGTAAACATGGTAATTAGAAAGCACGTGCGGCTTATACTCCTCGTACACCTTTTCCCTCTCGGAAAATCATTTTGTGAAACACGTGTTGGAAAATGTCGCTTTCTTGTAAGACTCGCCGCTCACAAATTCATTTAGCGTTACGAATGTTATTAAGAGTAAGCACGTTATTATTAACATGTTTGATTTGTCACGCTATTTCAACCTGACTTCAGCCGGTTTGTGAATGTGTCAACATGTGCTTASTTTATTTACCGGGGCTTTAATTTCAGATAAATCATTATTGTTACCAAACAGAGCAAAGTGAAACATATTGATGCATTTTGTTATCAGTCTGGTCGTAGTTGAGTTGTTTTTCCATAGATAACCCACAAGGGAAGCCCGGAACGTTTTATTTCTATTGTTTACTACTCGAAATGGAGCGAACGAACGGTGTCAATGCCATTTTCTCAAAAATATTTATTCAATATGAGAATTTTCGATTTGCTCTAGTAAACCCTCTCCAATTTTTACGCAGTTTTTTATCTGGGAAATTAAAGCACTCAACGGCTTATTTGAGATGAACGCTCCATTTTCATTCCCACTAAATCATTCAATTCCGACTCCAGTAAACTATATTTTAATTAAATTTTTATGACTGTAACCTAAATTTTCGAATATATTGAATTTCAAATGACAGTGATGAGTTTATGCGGTCGCATTTTTATTAATAGAAATAACACAAAATCTCTAAGTTGGTGTTGAAGAATGAATGGTTTGTTTTCAAAATTTTCCAAGAAACAAAATGACTCAATGGAGATTCTGTCTTTTGTATTTATATCATTTTGTTAAATATTTGGATTCATGTTCTGGTCAACTTCACTTTTATGCCTTCAGTAACCCGTTGGACTTTTCCACAATTTTCTAATAAAATTGGAAAATAAGCACGTTTGTTTGTGTTATTGGCTAATTTCTTTCTGAAATTTATATTCTACGAGTCAGTGTCAAAATGGAATGCTTGGTGCAAAAATAACCCGAAATTTCTTTCGAATTATATTTCAGGAAGTAAAGTTAATTGAACACAGTTGCATTAAATCACAACACATGATTGTTTTATCAAAATAAACATTGAAAAGGCCAAACTATTCTTTCAGTGAAACAAAGAAAGTCAATTTTACCCCACAACAACTATCGCATCACTTTGTTTAGAAAATCGAGTAGCAAATAGTCATATACATTTCATATACCTAAATAAAATAAATTTAATCTTTAAGAAGATTTTAACACTAGTTTTTTTAGAATCATAATAGATTTTTGCACTGCTTGTGTTAAATTTGTTGACTGTTTGCAAGACATTGCAGAACCATCTAGTTTAGCACAATAGTTTAGAGCGAACCAATCGATGACTGTAACTCCTTATGTTGATATGTGTCATAGAGTTTCATTCTCAGAAATAACCCAAAAAAAAAAGATAAAGTTAGAATTGTACATGTATAAGCAATAAACATATTATGTGYTGCGATAATTGTTGTGGCGTGTATATTTTAAACCACTTTTAGTATTAGTAATTTCGTGGAATATTGAGATTGTCTAAGGTAGCRTATTTTTTTATCGTTTCGATTTATGTATTATAAATTTTTCTCTGACAATCCTATTTCAACATTGAACTACATGTACGCACAACCTAATTTTCACGTGTAAATTATTTATCTGCGAAGAAAATAACATATCACGACCATTCCCAAATTATATCATTTAACAATCAAATATTCAAAGTTACAAATCTTAATTTAACAATGCATCWCAGGCGGCCTAACCCCAATTAGGCGAAAGACTAATAAAAGTCAAAATTTTTACATTCAAAATTTTATTTTGTTTTAAATACATACTTCATTATTAATATTTTTTGTTTAAAACCTTAGACCAGTGTTGAAAACTGAAACTAAAAATTTTTACAATAATATGCTTATTAACTGCTGTTGGTCCGAGATTATAACTAAATATATAAATTTTGTTGATTAGGCCACTCTAATTCTGAACGCCTCAATTTAGAAGAGAATTTGCACGCCTACAGGTTGCGAATTCGCTCCAACTAACCGAAAAAATTCATTTTTCGGCGAGACACCATTAAACTACATATCTGTCGTAGTCTCAACATCAAAGTTTGTGTATTCTTTGATATTCCCCCCATTTGATTTTTTCCTGACCTATATTATATTTTTATTGAACACGTTTCACCTCAAGCAGTTTTTTTTTMGGGGGGGGCTGATACCAGATATTTGATTTTTGCACGACTTGTTAGAATCACCATCTGTTCCAACATTGTTGACGAATTTACCTCAAAGTTATAAAGTTTTGCTACAGCTAAATATTTAATTGAGACATTTAGCCCAATTTTCTTGATTACAAACAAAACTTACGCTTTGTAAAATTGCTTTCAAGCCACTTCCTGTGGAAATTCAAAATATAAACAAACACTGATTGTTATGAAACAATTGCAACTTTGTACTTTTAATAGTGAAATAGGAGACATTTTCATTTATTGTTGTGGAACGAAATGGACAAGTTCTTGTATTTAAGAAAACTGCGTTGTAGGGAAATTAAATTAAAAATAAATCAGTGAGCTGCTGAAGGTATTCCAAATATGTAACCCACCACGAGAGCAATTTCATTTTGTAAAGTTTACTAAGAATTACTCTCTAATAAACAGCGGAATCGTGAATAAAATGAAGCTTATTTCTTCTAAGCTCAGGCGAGCTTCAATTATTTCTCGTTGCATAATCTAGCAATAAAAGTTGATTATGAAAAACGTGCCATTTGTGCAACGTCAGAATTTGAATTGTTTAATTCAGAGTTACGTAAAGTAAAACGTTTTCTAAATACATGTTCTGATTTTTCTTTTATTTGAAAATTTTTTGTAAGTGGAATTGTTTCATTGTAGGTTTTATTCAAACAAATATGGTAGAGGGAGGAAAGGAAACATAAAATAAGTTTGTACAAATTTATTTAGCATAAATATATCTATGCAATTCACATAAATTTTTAAAATATATTTAGATAAATTACAAAAAACATTTAGTATCACAGCCGTCATAGCACACACCATCTTATTAAATATTTGGTCATCTATTACCTAAACATCAGGGGTTTTGAAACAAATGCGACCGAATAGTCAACTTTCTCATAATCACAAGGTCGAAAGTTGAATATTTTTTCGCTAATCTAAATATTATTTTGTTAAGATTGGCAACATGAATATAGAAAGGGTATAAAAATTACGTCTAGTTATTAAAATAATCCCAATTCCAGTCCCGATCAGCACTCGGGCACAGCTGTTGTTGACTTTAATGCCACTTTGAATGAGACTATCCACGCCTCTGATATGTACAAACATTGACCCTGTCGGAAGCCTTTCTGCCAAGATAAATTATTGCACATTTCTTCCTCACCATCGACAAAAATCGRGCAACTTGGCACCACGGTTCCTTTTATTACTCGTATTTAGTTCAAGGACCATTCACTTTTCTGCACAGCACGTGTCCCTCCCTCATAAAACTGAGAAATATGGAACGAAATTCAATTCAACGAGCAGTCCCGACCTGCTCCTCCTTGTCCGATAGTCAAAGCGATGCCGTCGCTGTAAAATTCTGCCGCCGTCTCAGGACGCGAGACTTGTACAAGTCGGACTTGTGGCAGACAACCACAGTCCCACCTTGGTTTGTATTTGGTACGACTTTCCCGTTTGTATTCCCGATTAGAGTCCCGATCATCTTCGACACGGAGAATTTTCGGGTTTTTTGCGTGTTTTGTACTGAACGACACTCGTTCAAAACGGCGTCAATGGCGGTGTAGATAGCTGGACTGTTCTCAGCAACTGAGACTTCATGGAATTGGGAGTTGTGTTGAATGGCCAGAGTTCGACCCTCAACTTCGTCCACCTGGAACAAGGAAATGAACTTGAAATCTTTCTCAAATTGTGTATTGTTTAAATAAATTTAAACTTTTTATGAGTGAATCTCTGCATAAATAAACATTTTAAAATCTTATCGTTTGAAGCCCTTGCCGTATTATCACGTCATTGACTTTGGGGTCGTCTGTGCTAATTTTATTTGTGTAATCAAGACCAAAATGTTCACAATTTTTTAATGTCAATCAAGTCTTGGCAATTTGTAAACATTCTATTTCATTAATGGGACTAAAATTAGATAATTTCGACCTTAAAAACGGGCGCGTGCAAGTCGTCATGTGCAAGGAACGCGAGGATTGCACTTGTTGAAGAAAATAAGTGGGTGATTTTTCCTGATTCATCTATTGACAAAGTCCTGGTATCCACCAGCCCGTTAATTCGGTTAAAACAAACCATGCAAGCTAATTTGTCATTAGTAACAGTTTGTGTAAACAGAACCTATGCCAATGTTGCTTAAATTAGCAACGATCTTGATTTCCCCTTGAGAAAATATCGATTATATCTTACTAAACCATATTATTAAAAGCACACCAAGACCCAATAATGTCAAAAACGATCAATTATAGTCGTTCCGTTTTGCTTCTTACCCAATCTGTCTGTTCAGGTTAATAAATTGAAAAACGAGTAGATTTCGTAAAGTCAAGTCGCAAAAACAAAGCGAGTTTATAAATAAATCTCGCGCTTTGTGCAAAATTGAATCAGCTCCTGTACAATGGAATAAAACCCTCACCTGTCGAAGATGTTCCAGATCTGATTTGTTCCCCAGTAGGACAATAGGCATTTGACTTCTTAACTGAAGCACCCTTTGGAGTAGCTCGCCGGCATGTGTCATCGACGTCCTGTTGGTTATATCGTAAACCACGACGCAGGCATCCGCCCAATAAATGGCCTCTTCGGGGAATAGAGATAAATCGCAACTGCAGACGTCGACAATCTCGACTTCCAAGGCCGAGTTATTCACGGTTAGCGTTTGCCGATAGAGCAAATCTGGAAGAGAAAAAGAGCTTTACAGGGACGTTGAACCTGAAAACTTTTCAAGGTTCCACRGAGGGTTGATTAAATTTCACTTTGTTTCAAGGAAAGCCAGCTTTAATGAAAATTTAGCGGTATATTGGGGATCGCTTCCTATCCCACGTCAATTTTATCCGCTCATGAATTTGGTTTCGAGCCTAAGATCACTTAACGAGGAGCTTCAAGTAATTGAAATCAAAGGGCTGCTTTAGGAAGTGTCTCCATGGGAAATTGGAGACGACCAGGACCGGATTTGAAGCGAGGAATGTGCCAAATTATGTCTTGGCTGGGATTTGAGTTGTTTTGGAAATTGTCAGCAAATTAATTTGCTAGTGCGTAAAAATATTCGAGAAATACAAAAAGGTTATCATAGTTTAGACTGATTTGTATGCAAAGCTCTATCATAGACATTTATAGAAAGCTGTACTATTGAAATATGTATTTAGACAATTCAAAAATAGCGGCACGTAATAATGCGATCATATTTAATAAATGTAAATAAATATTGTGTACGCTAATTTCAACACTTGGACGTTAATCTTCAAGAAAAATGATTTGTTTTGTGAAAAGTTAAACTTTTGTATTCTTATACAATATTTTGTTTTAAAGAGTTATTTAAGCAGAATAAAAAATTGAAAATCGAGTGGCTAGTTGTGCAATTAGGTGCATCTGAGATGCGTCAACATCAATTTTCTTGCAACTCTCAAAATACTACTATTGTAAATGTATTGTAAATGCCACCCGGAACCACAAGTGGCATTTAGCACCGTTTCGACAATCTGTTCAAATCCCTTCTATTAATAGTCATCTCGCGAACTGATCCTCAACTATGTAGCTTGCAGACACCACCGTCTAAATACCTATCTTTATTTTAGACAATGCGTCGCTCTCTATCTAAACACACTTCTGCATTACTGCAGCTGATCCTTATTCCTGCCAAAGGACGAGTCCAATCAATGAACTAGATGACTAACTAGTGTGGGCTTAGTCCTTCAGCCCAAAGGCCGCCTAAATGTGGAATTTCCGCATGTTCACTTTTTCCTTATTTTCATCTACGACCCAGTTTAAAATTTTCAATTGTATAAATTTGTCGCTGGATAATGATGCTCCTGCGACAACTAATAAACATTCCTGCGTTAGACGTGGAATGCTCTAATTTAAGCACGAGCTGTTACATGCCAGATTATACGCTCGTCTAGGTCTTAACTCTTTCCTGTTGAATCCATGATTCAACAAACAATGCAAAATCAAACATGATTCAAAGTATTTTTAATCACAGGTGAGAGCTTAACAAACTGTTTCCAAATTGTATCAAGAAAAGCTCTTATTTTGTTTGGTCAAATCCTTGAAATTTTATTATCATCAAAACACTACTTTGAGTAAACACAGTCATCATAGCTCAAATTGGGTTTGTAATTAGCTTATTTCGGTAAGACACGGGGGAGTCTGAAAGATTGCTTTGGACGAGAGGGACTAGTGGGTTTAATGGGATAAATGGAATGGGTTAGTGGGACAAACAAGAATTATGTAAGTAATTAGAGTTACTCAAAGTATGTAACACAGATGCCTAAACTAAATTCGCAACATACTGTCTRCAAACACACTCCAATAAATTTMAAATATTTAAATATTTAGGTAATTTATTTATTTAGGATCTYAAATTAGAAATTTGAACCTGAATCGCAAATCGTTAATTTCTAGTACAGCTGGCAAAATAATTTGAATACTATGTGTTTTGCCAGGAAAGAATTCTAAATTTTATGTAACACCGAGTAGCTCCGCTTAATATTTTTCATATTTATGAGAACTCGTCAAAAGGAAAGTCAAAYATCAAAAATGTGTTTGGAGAATCCAGTCAAAACAAAGTCATTTGGTTAGGGACTTTGCAGGTGCTGCAATTTACGACCAAAACATCCAAATTTGAAAAAACAAAATTGTATAATTATCCCAACTAGCGTCATTCATTTTTTGAGTGCCAAAATTTTTGCGCACCGCTCTCTCCAATAATTGTTCACAACTATTCCTGAAATAGCCCACAAACTGTAAAATTTGATTATGAAGTGATTCGTTTTGCCCTATTAACGTTCGATTATCTAACAATTGCGCTTTAAAGTTCAATAAAGCTTCATTATCGACGTCACCATGACGCCCATAAGCGTCATCGACACTTGCCGCGAATCACATTGTSGTAGCAAATCCATAAATGGCTACATCGTACATTTGAATGTTTCTGTAACCTCAATCGGGTGTAATTTATTTGGAGTAAAACCAATTTTTATCTAATAAATTCCTGGATTTTATAGAGAGCTGCTCTTCCGCCTCTAAAAATAAATTAATAAACCAAAGAGAAAACGCTCCAATCAGAAAGTATCTCAAGGATTGTTTCCGTGTTTATTTACTACACGCATCAAGGAGAAATTATATAATAAAAATTGCCCCTCCACCGAGATTTATTTGTTTTTGTTGGGGTTTATGGAATCGAGAATTTGTTTTCATTCATAAAATTATTTGTAGCACCTACCTGTATTACTCCGGTATTCCCCAATGAACCTCCTAGTGAGATATCGAACAGTTAGTGCTGAAACAAAAAAAAATAAAAACTCAGCACCGTGTTTCATGAACCGGACAAAGAATAAATCAAATGAGAATCTTTCGGCCAATAACTCTGCTCGTTAAAATCCCATGTTATTTTTGGACGAATGAAATAAACATTTTCGATTTGATTCATTGACAATTTCAGAGACCTTATCGGGGAATTTCTAAGATATGTCATTGCCAAAAGAAATGAATGATTTCTTACCTGATTTTCCGACGTTGGCTTTACCAATGACGGCCAGACGGACCTTTGGTATGTTATTCTTATCTTCAGTTTTCATTTTCTGAAAAGAGGAATTTGCCATTAATTTATTTTGGAATCGCTGTAGAGGTGACGCAATCAGCCTTGTTTGCAAATTTTTGTTGCTCGAAACAAAACAAGTTGTAAGGTTATTGGGTTATTTTTTCGTGTAAATATTTGTATGAGTTATCGTTTTGTCATGCATACACGACATGTGAGCAAAATGAAGTTATAAAAAGCTTCCATTTCTCGATTAGACTAATCACGACATGAGTCGCTGAAACTTATCAAAAACCACGTTTCGGAAGTCTCTTATGAAAATTCTGACGTCATTTTGATTTACATCTAGATAAAAAAGATTTATCTGGAGATCTGTTTGACCAATTAATAACCTGATTGACATTTGGAAAAGCCTCTAATGGCGCGCGCAATAATTTTGGCTAAAAATTTAAAGCCAAGGCGACAATTGGACGATAGTCGCCCACATTCGGCGCCAGAAGCTCAGAAATAACCGGACTGGAATTCCAACACTTCATTCCTAGATGCTATATCGGCCCAAACCAAAAAGAAAACTGCGTTGGAAGCGCTTCCATATGTGATTAAACCATTAGCTATGAAAACAAACTCGCTAGACTGACGATACATAAATAAAGTGGCAACGATGCGGAAGTTATCACCGATTTGGCTAAAGGGCCAAAAGTGGGCTTAGTCCGGCCCGGGACGCAGACAGGGTTACTAACCGGCGCCCTTGACTGCCACTTAAGGGTCACTTGACAATTTACCACAAGTTCAACTAAGATAGAAGTAAAGGAAAATTTAGAAAATCGTTTCTCTTCGTTACAGGTGCTTAAATTGAAAGGAAAGTTTCCTCCACGTTTTTTGCACCTTTACGGCGTCCCCCAGCGAGTATTTAACTAATTTAATTGGAATGTCAATTCCATTACAACCGGTGGGAGTGAAAAAGCTTCAGGTTATTCGCGACTTTTAACCTTCATAAATTTCAAATATCACAATACAATACAAAATGTTATTTTTTCAACCCACAACCATGACCGGGTATGTAAGTTTTAGAGAAACAGAAGCAATTCTGAAAATTTCAAAATTAATATTCCATAAACACTCCATACACCAGGTTCTTTTCTTTAAATATTTGGAACTCACGATTTCATGAGGAATTTTAAACATTTGCTCTCCTGTTTSAACAGGAATTATGTCGCGAATAATTGGAAAGATTAATTTTTAATTGAAACACATGATACGGCCAGCGAAAATAATTTAATTGGGTCGTTCTTTTATACTAAGAAGCCCATAGGGCATTACGGAATTTCAATTTTTGATTTGACCACATACCTAAAAAAGTCATTAAAACTTTTTTAAATTCATTTAATTAAATTTAATTTAATTGTGGCTAAAATTTTACTTATAGGGATTTTTTTACCTGTATTAAGTCGGAGACGTAGCCCCAGGAAACGGTGCACACGAGAATTTTCAGTCTCAAAAACTATCTACTCACAATCAAAACACGCTCGCACTTTTGCTGCTAGTTTGACGCTGAGAGGCGCGTTTACTGAATGAATTGGCGTCGCGACGCTCTCGTATATATCAACTGGTGGTCGTCATGACAACGGACAGCGTCCCCGCGTCGGTTGCCGTCGTCGGCATGTGCCAAGGATCCAGCTTGCAGATTTGCCTGCTGTCGTGGATTATGTCGAGCAATATATCCTTATATTGAAGATGACTCTTTTTCATCGAGTTTGTAAACACTTATTTGAATAATGAGCCACGAGACTGGTTGAAATATTTGGCGTTTCTCCTGAAAACGGCGTCGAACCAATATTTTGAATTTTTTTAAATAAACCATCAGGAACCTAACATTCTCAAAAGGAAATCAAATGACTGTTGCTTTATAAACTGTGAATCAAGAGAAATCTTAGCGGAACAATCCTGCAGTTTGGGGAATTGGATATAAAAATATTTTGGTTCCAATAAGAACAATATTTTCAATTTTCAAACACATCTTGATCTGTAGAACAAAAAAACAATTTTTCCAAAAAATGTTTACTTAATTATTAATTATTATAACAATTTTCAAGAAAAACATCAAAATTTATTGACCTTACCTCTATTTGATTATTTAGACTACTTTTAACTACTTTTGAATTGAATCGAACTTACAATTTTTGAGTGGTAGTTTTAAAAAAAATTGTGCTTCTTTACGATGATCCAGATTTTTTATCAAAACAAAAATAGTTTCTTATCTGAGTTAATATTAATAATATGTATTTAATTTTATATTATCACCGGATACACGTGTAAAGTAAATCAAAATAACTCGATTTATTAATGAAACTTTAATTTTTAAACATTTTTAAAGCTTCAAAACAACAGATAAAATTTTATTTTAGCTTATCCTGAATATTTTCTTGTAAATTAAAAAAAAATATTTTTATACAATTAAAAAAGTTTGTATTGGTATTGAGAATAGCACAGTGGATCCCTTTGTGGTTTTTGTTGATTAGATTATTACGTACATACTTAGTTACAGTGATTATCTTTCACAGGGAATATTGCTGTGATTGATGATGAAACTAGTAAATTTTCCATTAAACTTTACCTTAACAAACTGGGTCAACCTAAGCTTCTTGTATGTCTAAGTCGTTAAATTATGTGCGAATATTATTTAAAAGTTGCTTCATAGWCACAAAATATAATCTGCGTTGAAAGTTACTAAAGCATGACTTATCACGTTTTTAGCTCAGGGTTAACCAAGTGGTCACATTTTTGGGGGATTAACCCGAATTGAGTCACCTTTTTTGGAATTTTGAGTCCAAAACATTGCAAATCTGTGTACCAATACCTAACCACTCTGAAAATAGTGTGTTACCACAAACATACAAAATTACGGAGGTGTGAATTTTTTCATCGGTTATTTATAACCGTGATTTTTATTTAACTTTTCTGCATACGTTCTATTAAGACAGTTTATTGTTGTTCTTTTTCGGTAAACTTTTGTTTTAATATGCTCAGAATTTTGTAGAAACAAGGTCATGATAATATTATAAATTGATTGACATCTATTTGAACGCGGTGTAGACACGGAGTAAACATCTCTTGGAAATGAGAAGGAATGAGTGTAAGATTACGTCCTGATTTCGCTTCTAAACCTCCCTTAAAAAACGCCCTACTTCTAAAGTAGGTTTATTAAAACGTTACACGATTATTCATTTTTTAGGTGTCAGGTAGCGACCTACAAAGAAGATTCTGCGGATCAGAATCAAGGCATTATCCTTCCAAATTACCATTGAGTCAGGCTCAAATGTCAAGGGTTCTATTTATTTTAATTACCCTATCGTATACTCCACCCACGAGAACAAACTTCCCTCCCAAATTAAATAAATGTGATAGGTATCACGGCCTAGTTACAGGATAATTTTACGTAAGTAGGGCGCGCCTTCACCAATTCCCGATTTATTATCGAAAAAAGACAATGATTTATTAAGAAATGAAACATATTTACGATTGCAAAAAGGAAGATCTGCTGATTTATTGCCTAAAAATAAGTGCATCCATGTAATTTGGCTTTAATTATGAAAGCTTGTTTTGAAAAGTTTACCAACGTTGGGTAACTGAAAATTTACAGGTCCTGAAAGGTCATTTCTGGCTCTTGCACAACTTTCTGCCCTGTCTTATATAAATTTGAATTGAGTATATTTAACAAAATCGTGCAAATGGCTGACAATYGATTGGATAACTTTCCAGTCYGTTTTTTGCCATAATTTGCTTTTCATTAATCGTAAATGTTACCCACATTAATCACAACGTTGGTTGTGCTTTTCCGAGYACTTTTCCAAACGATTTATTGTTATAGATCATTMATCGATAGTAATATCCACATCACCAAGTCTTTAATACGATCACAGTTGTCGAAAAATAATACTCTGATGCAAAACATGTCACAKAAAAKWTAAAAACAGACACGAAGGTAGCCTCTYTTCACCTCCCTTGAATCCCTTGAGTTCCTGCTCGAAAACCCAAAACAAGCGCCTTTAAGAATGGCCTATTATTACACAACTTGCATTACATAAGGACTTGTCAAGTTCAGCATTATAATGGTGTAGCTATTGATCTGGAAGCTATTGTTGAAGCAGACATAACAATCACAACTAAGGTCAGGGTTGTCTCGAATCTAGGTGATATTTGTTCCACATCCCTCTCAATGCCAGAAAAAAAATCCATCACTTTTATCATTGTTTCACAACTCCAAAATTGAAACAAATATTTTTCTTAGTCGCAAATTGCACGTGAGGCATCTCGCACGTGATGTTTTTAAGTAGATGCATTTACGGAAATAGCAATTTCTTCTGATGACCTAAAACTGTTCCAGGATTGGATAACATAAATATTCACTTGAGAAAATATTTTTTATAAGCGTCGTCTCTTTGATATTTTTTACTTTTGCAAAGCATAAGCTTAACACAATCAAGTAAGGGTTCAAAAATTGCTCGCAGTGTGACATTGGAAGTTAAAAAGTTGAAAAAAATATCAAATTTATTCTCATTAAAATCTCCCCTTATGTTTTATTCTACCTTTCGATGCTAAGTTTGTTTTTTTAATCAAACGCTTTTGCACTGTTCTCCCCAAAATTAAAAATAAATTATTTTTCCAGCGCCTTGCAATGCTGTTGGATTTTTCTTGGAGCAGTTACCGGCCGATGAACTTCGAAATAAGTGAATTTAAAACAGCAACAAATCTGAACCCACGCTGCTTAATTTGATAATTTAGTACACTTTGCACGCGCCACGAGGGCTACCTACCGTCTTCAGATTTTATTGTGTCTTAAGGTTTTTTCCCAGCGTCCACTTTCAGTTCATTGGACTCTATGACATGACACTGGAATTATCCTTTCAGGGAAATCTTTAACAGTTACCTAGATAACAATCAAAAATAGAATTGGGATGCTAATTAGCCGATGATTTTTTTAAATTAGGTTTTTTTCTGAGCCAGAAAGCGATTTTTCACATGTAAATACACCTGTTTTACACAAAAAAGTTGACGTAAGTAAGCTTTTAGTTCATGACCCAGAATCGGTTGTATAATGTTATTTAAACAGTTAAATAAGTAGAGCAACTCTTAAGGGTTGAATTGGAACAAATTATCCTTTAACACTTTTAATAATAAATGAATTATGAACGATGACTGACTTGAATCAACCAAGTATCCGTATTCGGTGTTAAATAGATACAATGTTTATTTAATATTCTGAAATTAGTTAAAATCACATTGAAACGTTCATATGGGTGCTGCATTTTGGATGTCCGAATAGGGAATCTCCGAAACTAAGAGGTTTTGCCAAAAACGAGTAATACATTCTGGGGCTCATTTTTGAGAAAATAATATTYMTTAAAACCGCATTTCATTTCAACTACAAAAATTGACATTTTAGCAAAATCTAAAAAAAATTCATATCTTCATTATTATAGAAGACACAGARTTTAAATAAAGACATTATGCAGGCACTTTTTTACGTAAAATTTAATAATGTAGTTAACAATTTTTTTCAGTTGTTTGTTTAGCCGTAATAAGAGAAACCTGTATTTTTTTTATGGGAATCATAGATAACTATGTCATTTTTAAAAAGATTGTTTTTTTCTTATCTAAAAAATATATATTTGTAACAGATTATTATAATACATTTTTAGCAAAYAAATATCTTTGATTTTTGTTCGCAGTTGGCTATGAAAAATTGTTGCCTCTTCAACTAAAAGGATTTAAACTATATTATTCAACAACTGTCACTAATGAAAGAGCTTTCTAAGCACTAGGTAATAAAAAAATGCAAAATTTTGTTCTGAGGCGCTCGCATATTTGTTCAATACTTCTAACGTATACTTAGTATTTTTTAAATTTTTATAATTTTATCTATTTTTTATCTATTTCACAGTTCACAAAACTCTTATTGATTATTATTTACACATTTGGAGTGAAATAGTTTTTCCATGGCCAACTATTATGAAACAAAGTATGTATTTCATTTTCTAAGTATAATTATGAAAAAATATCCGTTACAAATACATATTTTTTAGAACGATGATATGATTTTTTTAGATTTTGCCCAAATGTAAACTTTTGTCTGTAAGTCGAAATCAAAACACGATAGCGGGATGCGGTTTTCACCAATATTATTTTCTCAAAAAATGAGCTCCAGAATGTATCATACGTTTTTGGCTAAACCTCTTAGTTTCGGAGATTCCCTATTCGGACATCCAAAATGCAGCACCCTGTACATACATATTAATTTAGAATCTGGAAAAATAAATTCAATAAACAACTCTTTATCAAACATCTAAAACTGTTTTACATTTTCTTACATTATTTTTATACTGAGAAAAACTAATCTCAAAAAGCATTTARTTTTGGTTAACAGAAAGTTACAAYTGAGCCATCAACTGCTCGTGACATGTGTGTAAAACATCTCGAATTATTTTTTCATTATCTCATTTATTTTTCATCGGGCTTATATGATTCAGCTTATGGATCACTTTCAGTTTTAAGAGTTGGTGAAG